TTAGTGCGGTGAAATTTACTTTTGAAATCCTCATGTTTTCCTTGGTCAGCCTGTACAGAAGGTAAATACAAGCCTGTTCAGCTGTTACTTTTACTGTAGACCTGATACAAGTGGCTAAACGTGCCCAGTCAATTTGATAGCCTTTTCCATAGAGAAACACAAAGCCAGAGCCACGCATATACGTTCTGCTGCAGCTTCCGGTGGAGCCGCCTTTGCGTTGACGCGCGACTGTGGTTTCGCGAGGTTACGCAAGTAAATGCTGACTCGTGCAGTGGAGCCAGGCACCGGATAGGCAGGTGTTTGGAGGATGAATGATGATAATAATCATAATAATGTATGTAATGTATATGGCTGTTTTAGCCATTTTGTTGTGCTCTGTGGTTCCGGTAGTGTCCTGACTTTTGGGCCTTTCTCCTCACTTTTGGGCCTAAGTGTCCTAATTTTCAGATTCATGCCGGTGGTCACCCTAAATGAGGTCCTATGTCCAAAATTCCGAACTGTCCCTTTAAGCCATGTTATAATGCTGTTACCTCATTAAAAACATACCTGGAGTTGTGTTTTGTTTCATGCACCAGTGTTTGAGTAATCCTGCTTTATTAGGCTGTCTTTATATCCAAAACTTGAAAACTGTGACATCACAAGCTGGAACAGAGCATTTTGAGCTAACAGCTAACATTTACCTTTTGTTTAGCAGAGATGGGATTTTAATGAAGGTAGATGGATTTTAAAAACACAGTAGAACACTTCCTGTGTTACCACATGACATCACCAGGTGCAGCGGAGTGTTTTCTGTTTGAGATAAGAACACAGCCTAAATAAGGGTTTGTGTGTTAAACACGTGAATGTTTAACACAACTCCAGGTATATTTTCGATGATGAAACAACATAGCAGAATATGAGCCCTTTAACCAACCTTAGAAAAAACTAAAATTAGAAGATTATTCCAACCTGATGACCTGTGCTGATTAGACTTCTTGTTTGAACCCGCCCAGCAGTAAGGTGCATTATACAGAACTCAGCCACAGTCCACAGCCAAGCTTGCATTTCAAAGCATTATGTGGACAGAAATTCAGTGAGCAGTCAGTCGGCTGTTGTGTTGTTTTGGGCTCAGAGAGTTCATAATGCACTGCTCAGAAATGGTTGTCCGTTCAATGGAGCCTGCGGAGTCACTATAATCTCATCCTGTTTAGGGAGATGGGATCAGTGGACAAAGAGAATCGGGGTTGATGGAGGGTTTTGTGCTTCATTGTGGATATCCTGCTAATGTCTTTGGATATGCAACAATGAACAGTCTGTGATAAAATACTGCTATTCTGTTTCTCTGCCAAACACACTAATCACGCTTAATGTTTTGGGCAAGTTATGTTTAATACAGAACATATACTTTTATTCAGTTTTTAACAGCTATTTATCCTTGTACCAACTAGAAATGTGAATGCAACAGTACTCAATATAATATGACATTTTTATATATAATCCTCATAATAGAATTTTTCAGATCAGATTTTTCACAACATTCTGTAGTCTGTAGTAATAATTATTACAGATGCTTGATATATTCTGGGCACTAGTGGCTAATAGAAATGATCAACTTCAGTTTTCATGAATTTATCTTTTAGATATTTATTATAAAAGTGCTGTCACATTCTAGAAACTGAAAACCACAAATACATATATTGCTCAACACTCCAAAGCATTACATGTGTATTACTTTCGCCATTATTTGATTATGGTAAATAAAAAAACAGCTACATAAAGGCCTAACTCTAGTATATTTGAACAGATAAGAAATGGTGTAACTGAATAAAATGTTATCTTAAGTTAAAATGTTTATTGATAATTATAAAACGATAGAGGAGACATATCGCCACATATGGATGGACATACGCATGGTGAAAATTGTATGGATCCCTAGTACCAGCTTAAAGGTGGGGTGAATTAAGGAGCAACTTAAGTTAACATTTTATGTCATGTTTAAAGTTGAAGAAGAAGGATTTGGGTTTAAGGAGCAGCATGCATGTGTTGATGTTGTCTGAATGTTTGAAAAATACACACCAGTAAATCCAGACGACAGATGAGCATTGGTGAGATGGTGGAATAGTGTTTTGGGGTTTTTTTTGAATGGGGAAGTGCAGGAGCTGGTGAAGCATTCGTTTGTGGTTGGTTGGTTGGCTGGCTTGGGTCGCAGCACTGATTGATCTCCAGGTGACAGGCAGTGTCGGGGGCTTTTGGCCGGACTGTCACTAAGGTGCTCCTCGACTCATCCCCGCTCCATCGCACTCTCATTCTATTCTCTCTCTCTATCACCCTCTCTGTGTCCCGCAATGTTTTAGGCTCCCTTTTCCCGTTCGGGATCAGCCAACTCCTCCATGCTCCTTCCTCTCTCCCTCCTCATTTTCATTACTCTCTTCTGTGCCCTCCTTCCCCCTTCAGCACTGGCAGCTGGGTGTCTGTTGTTGTTTTTCTTTTGCCTTTTTGTACATCCAAAGTACTTTGCTAAGTGCTGTCCATTTGGCACCATACAAGTGGGCAATTTTCAACTCTAATACATTGCAAACTTGCCTTTACTGTGAAACTTACAAGACTTGACTTGAATCTCTTTATTTCCAAACACAGTTGTTGTGTGCTTTCAAATTAATTTATGTTCCTTCTTGTTGATTTATGGTTTTATTTAAAATTACATTTTTTCTGAAAACAACATAATTAGTATGTAATATCAGTAAGAAATGTTAAGTTCAAAATAATGATTGTAGGAATTACTATTGAGTATTATTGCATCTTGTATAATAATAAAACTATTCTACACTATTAAGTGAAGTGGCAGAAGTAATAAAGATCACTTTTTAGTAGGATTTGGTTTTCCCTCTTGCCACGTCCTGTTTAGTATTCGAAGAGCAGTAATTGGTTGGCCGCTGGGATTTATTTTGCACTTATGTCTGACCCGTCATGTGTTTACCTGGGCATATCCCATGGCTGGATGTTGCACTGGTGTCAGTGTGTGTGCCCTCTGATACACTGGGTCAGACCTGGCCCAAGGATATTTGGATGACCTTGGTTTATGCTGTGCATGCCAATGGGTTGCTCAATTAGAAGCATTTGATTTGTGCGTGTGGGCGCGCCTGGGCTACTGCATGTGCATATATACAAGCACCCTCGAGGACCATGCTTAATGATAGGCTCGTTTGCACAGCTCTGCCTCTAATGATCTATTAAAGTACACTTAGCCAGTAATTATATGGCCAGTCCCGAAAGGCTTATGGGGTCCATTGGGGATAGCCAAGAGAGAGGTCTAAAAAAACTGCCAATGCCATTCATATGATTGCAGTAAACTTCTCTACAAGTTAATGATGAATGAATAGGATTTTTATTTGTCTTTGGAAAGATACTGCAAGATTGTGGATTAGGTGTTCTTCAAATTCCTTCTTTAGTAGCAACTAATCTTTATTTGATCACTGCAATTTAGCATGTTCTCTTCTACCCCCATTGGTGTGCCCACCTCAGATACTGAGGTGAACAGAATAAATTAGAATGTGAAAACAAGAATGCAAGATTCTGCATTTTCATCAACCGTGCAGGCATAAACAACAACTTTCTCTTCCCTAACTACAACTATTAAATCATTATGTCAGTCATTAACAGAATTGTCTCCTAAAGTTCAAAAACAGCCAGAAGCGTGCTTGATTGCATCCTCTAATCATAATGTGTCATCAGTCAGAGACATGCTATGTCACATTTCCCTCTCTTCACCTTTTAACACATTTAATATGTTTCACCCCATCTCCATGTACTGTGTGTGTGCATGCACCTATCCCTAATTTAACTAGAGCACATCTCTGCATCAGTTTGACTTGTGTTAGGCCCTTTGGTCAAAGAGCTTTTTTCACTAGGCTTTTTACTGGCTTTTCATTGTGTGACCTCTTCACTCTTCTGAACTATTTAGCCTCTGTGTCCATTATCTGATTTATTTAATGCTCCTCTCATCCATTTTCCTCCCACAGTTGAAAAGGTTGTTATTCTGTTTGTTCCCTCTGCTTGCTGTTGCTTTCAACTTTGCGTATTTTGATGAGAAACCAAGATCTGAATTTCTAAAGGGCATTTTAGTAATTTGTTTGTATGACACACATTCATTATCATTTGTCTGCTGTATAACTTCCTGCTGGGAATAATTGCGTATTTGCTAATATTGCTTTGGTGCACTTGCCTAAGAAAACCCATGATGGAGTCACGTCCCACCTTGTTCTCTTGTGCTCTCTGTTCTTGTGCCCTCCACACCTGCTTATCTTGCGAGTCAACGGGCCGCAGACAGACAGACAGACAGATAGCAGGGGTGCCTGGGCCCAGTCTGGCTGTCATAAGCTGGATGGCACCACTGTGGACACCTTAAGGGAGGGGAATGGCTGCTGACACCTCTATTAACCTTCAGGAGATGTCCATTGGTCGTCACACCTCTGCTCTCTCCTCCTCCCCTCCCTGTCCCGTTGTCTGCTGTCCCTGAGGCAACTCAAAGCCATCCCAGTCTCTGGAGAAAGCGCTGCCAAATAACAAATGCCTTTTTCCTCCCAAACCTTTCAGTATGCCACGCATTTTTCATCTTGCTTTATCTGTTTGCCTCAGTCTGCTTGTTTTTTTCCCACTTCCTCGGCTTGTGTCTCCTGGTAATTTTAGCTCATGAACACTACAAGCAACAAATTCATGCCAGGAAAGTCATATGGCCAATGCATAATAGAAGATACTGCTCACTGGTGCATAGCTAACTAGTGGAAATGAACAAATTGCTGCAGCTTCTTTCCCATGTCAATCACATGGAATAATGGAAGTTAATGAACACAAAGCGAGGCAGATTAAATCGGATGTAAACGCGTTTGATTAACACATGACCTTTTTTGGTCTGACAGTAATTCAATAAGTCGCTTGGTGTTATTTGGTGATTTGGTGGGATATCAAAGTCAGCCATGTTTAATTGACTTGTGTTTCCTCTGGCTTGTGTGTGCTGCTTGCAGGAATTCTCTCTGCTGAGACTAGATGATGTGGCAGACCAGAGAGTCAACATCCTGGGCTTTTCAGTCTTCAATAAAACCCACCCCTTTTTTCAGGATTTTGTCCTAAGCCTGAACCGCTCCTGGCAAGAGAACTGTGACCATGCTCCCTTTGCCGGCACACCAGTAAGTTCCCAACACACACACCCACATAGTCACACATTGTTATTCATGCAACACAATAAACTCTGCTCGTTTATTTTGTAAAATCTCAAGTCATCCAGAGGAATAGCTTCGAAAACACCAATGCCTGTGAGAAATACCGCAAATGACATTTATCCAGTTAACTGCGCTAGTTGCAGGTGTTGCTGGAGGCAGTTGTTGTTTGGCAAGATGGCTCATTAGCAGTGTTTGGCAGCCTCCTTATTACATTTATAATGGCATCCTCCCTTTTAAAGCAGCTTCAGAGGGAAGCTCCACAACATGCAGTTTCAAATCATACACTGCTCCTCTCGTGAAACCCCCTGCTCAGCATGTTCTGATGAATGACTGGCATCAAACAACTTCTAATGTTGGAGGCTCTGCTTTGAAAGAATGAAAAATCAAAAGATGTGGGGTTGTAATAACATTATGACTGATCTCACTTAGGGCTTGATATTGTAAAAATCCTGTTGAAACTCTGAGCACCACACAGTTCAACATGACTGCCATTTTATAGAAATAAAATAAAATTTATGGCATCATTTGCTCACAGCAATAAATGCTCTCAAGGTTGAGCACCCTGACACTTTGTCCGGAAATGTCACTCATAAAACAGCTCAGTAAAAGCTTGCATAATTGTAGATTTACACACAGGACATGTCTCTAAATGGAAGAACATATCCATAAAGGTGAAGTTACTTACATTAGATTACAATTGAAATGTTGAATGCAGAGTTCATCATCTCTATAACTAACTGTGTCAACCATAATCGATTTTTTTTTTTTTTTTTTTTTAGCTTCATATAAAATCCTAGACCATGTAATTTGAATAATGTAAGTATCCAAGAGGTCGCGAACAGTTGAAGACAACAGGAAAGTGTGCACGCAGCAGGTCACTTCTGAGCCTGTGGCAATTAAGTCTTCTGCCTAATTAACTCACACGTTGGGAGAATAAAGGCTGATGATGGCAGAGCAAGAATGTGATGAACTCATTTAGACATGCACATAGATAATATGCTGTCGTTTCATCTACAGTAATTAGGTCTGGGGGAGGTGTGGCTCCAGAACGTGTACATACAAAATCTGCATGAATAAGTGACCTTCTCCATGTTCAGGCATCTCACACTCCTCTGGACTCACATCAGATAGTGTGCTAAATGTCAAGCACAGGAAACCAGGTTTCCAAAGATTAGATCTTGAAGGGATTATTGTTGAGCACTACCTTAAATAACTTGACTTTAAAGACGGGTAGTAAAACAGACAAAATAGTCATTATTCGTATCTGAAACTCCCAAAATCAATAGCATAGCTATACCAGACAACTCTAGAGGAGATCTGAAGGTCTTCAAGTGTTCTTAAACTGGTCTTATTTTTAAACAGGGCTGAAATAGGGGCATCAAGCAGAGCCTAATTCATAGTGGCGCCCATCACAGCATGTGTAGTTAAACATTAACTTCATGCTCACAGCAACAACACTTGGTTCAGATATGTCATGTACATTGCATTATTTATTTGTGGTCTGAGTTTTCCTAAAACTGTTAATGTTTTATCAATACTGAACTAAGACACTGGATTCAATGGTGTTTTCATGTTGGTTCTTAGAGTAAGCAACTTATGTTTTAATTATGTTTTTGTTTTAATCTGTGGAGGGGCCTATTCTTATGTTGGTTTAACAAAAGTGCTTTCTTCTGTTAGAGACGGGTAATTGGAAATAATAGTTGTGATTTTGTTCTTTACTTTTTAATAGAGCATAATAATCAGACATTACTTTCACAGCACTGAGCCATTATCTCTTTGTGTTACACCTGAAGTGCATCCATCACAGTCCAAAATGACTTCACAGGCTGTTTGTGTACAGCACATTGCTTCTAATGTTCTATCTCTTTAATACTAAGCTGTAATACATCAAAGCGATGCTCCATAATGGCCTATTGTGCTGCTTTCCAACACTGACTCACCAGCACCACACTGAGCACTGCCTGCATATGCACTAAACATCCGGCTATTTCATAAGTACTTCCTGTATCCATGGCTTTCAGACTGATGAATAATTAGGACCTTTGTTATACAAATGAACTATTTAAAACATGATATATTTTAATGGTGAAAAATCCTCAAAATGTCACATAAATCATAAAGCTGATACCCAGTGATGGGAAGAATACTTTGAAAATGCTTTTAGTTACAAAATACTGACTACCTAAATTAAAATGTATTTTGTTATATATTCTGATACATGGTTCAAAGTATTAGATTCTGAATTCTATACTCAGAATTATTGTGTAAGAATACAACATATGATTAAAACAGCGTCATGTCTGTTTCACCATTTGTTTTGCATTTCATATCACTAATTAAATTAATTTTTTTTCACAAATTGTATAGTTTGATACCTAAATTACATGACCATATACCATAATGTACTCCTCCGATTTTAGAAAAAACACTGTGTTCTGAATACCACCAAAATTAGTATTCCGAATACATATTCTTAGTATATGTATTCAGGTACTTCACAACACTGCTGAATCACATGAATAACCACACCCCCCAACAGTGAATATTTGACTGACTAGTCTCTAATGAGGGGCATCATGCATTCTAATCAAATGTACATAGCAGGGTGTGGTGGTCAGGACACTGCAGCTGTTTGTACAGCGAGGATGAGAGGTAATTGCTCCTCTCCTACTGACTCTGGCCCGTGCTGAGGGAGGCAGCTGGTAATTGGGATAGTCAGGGTGTGCTAGCTTTATTGGGGATAAGAGTAGAAAGGATAGACTCTGAGCACAGACCCAAACAGGAGAGATGGATTTGAATGCTGTCAGCAGATCACAGTCTTTCTAACGATCTCATCGAGTAATTCCAGTGCTTCTCCTCTAGGGACAGGTTAACCCCTCACTGACTGCAGGCCACTCACATGCTACACTTTCAGATTTGGGCGTACGTGTGACGGATTCTCTCTCTTCCCTCTGCAGCTCTCCTCAGCACTGCTCTTTGATGCAGTATACGCGGTGGTGGCGGCAGTCCAGGAGTTGAACCGGAGCCAAAATGTTGGCGCGACTCAGCTCTCCTGCAAATCCTCCAAGATCTGGGAGCATGGGACCAGCCTCATGAATTACCTGAGGATGGTAAGGTCATCTATGTGAGACATTACATTTGTAACTCGATACGTACATAGAGTTAGTGCCAACCTGTTGAATGATGTGTTTTGTATGATATTATTGATGCCTATTGTCGGACATGTCAAATGGCCAATAACCAAAATGGTTTGCTATAACAATGCCTGAGGTTCCATTTATGATGAACGAGCACTCCTCATCTAAATGGTCAGTTTATCTTATTCTATCCATTACTTCAGAACAACAGGCAGGCAATAAAGAAGACCTGTCAGTACATAAAATGTTTTCCTATTAGGGACAAATGCCTATAAGTGATGGGTCTACCAGGTGCTTGAGTGTGACATCTATGATATGAACGTGTTTGTCTCTCTTTGTCAAATGAATTATATGTGAATAATGCTTCCATGCTATTAAAAGAAGACCTAAGGAACTGATCTTTGATAACATAATCCTAAATATGACTTATGAAGGCATTATCGTTATATTTTCTCTCATTTTGTGTCTGTGAATAGGTAGAACTGGAGGGTCTGACGGGACACATTGAATTCAACAGTAAAGGGCAACGGTCTAACTACGCCCTTAGAATCATGCAGAACAGCAAGGACGGCCTCAAGCAGGTAAAGTCTATCCACATTAAATCTTTAGCTTTTTTACTTTTGCCAATAACTTCGCTTTGCATGTGGATATAGGACACAATATACTGGTTTAAAGAGGTCCTTGTTTCTGAGCTTGTCAGCATATTGGTCAGTACAGTATTCCCATTTCAAACCCCTGTAAACGACAATTTTTTCCCATACAATGGCCGTGTGACAGTGTTTTTTTATGGTTGTCATATAGCAGTGATCATGCAGCTGAGAGCCATGCTGACTACCTTTCACCTGAGCATGTGTCGTTTATTATTTCTCTATCACACAAACAGCTCTGCACTACAGGCTAAATTAAATATCAGATAAGGCATGGATGTGCACCTAAGTATTTTATAAGATGCTAAGTGATTATGTTGCATGCAGTTAACTCCCATTAGTTTATTGTGGACAATAATGTTACAATTTGTCCTCAGTTAAGTGCTTTGCAGTTAATTAGAGTGTACCTGTTATTGAAATATCGCAGCATTCAAAGCAGCGGGGGATTTGTGGCTTGTATTGATCGCCACCAATCACTCCAGTGTTGCCGGCTCAAGCCTCGGAGGCTGGGTTTGTGGGCATCATGAACAGCCATTGTGAAGCTTTAGTGGATAACATTTGGATGCACCAACGGCAAAGTACAAATCTGTCTCTGAATGTGAGGAAAGTGAGAACATTTTGAGATTTTACTTTCTGGCCAACACACTTTAAGTTACCCATGAAATATTTAGACTTTGTGGAACGAAGTAATAAGTAAACAAAGAATCAGTAGTAACCAGTAATCCAACGTCATGGGGTGGGAGCATTAGGCTTTGGTGTATAATGGAGTTGACAATGGACAAGGAATTCAGAGTATATTTTAGCAATAATTTTATTCTATTGCTAAAATATACTCTGAATTCATTGTCAGAGTATGTTTTAGTGATGGTTTTATACTATATTTAAAGATACAGCATGACATGAAGTCAGGTGAGTTAATTATTTTCTGATGTTTTCCAAACGACATGGCAACTTGCAGAACTCCACTCGGTGTACGGGGTGGCTGAGTCTTGTGGAATAATATGATTACAAGTTACGCTTAAAAAGCAAATTGCTCAGAACTTTTGTAAAAGAAATATATTTTCTGTGAAACTGATTTTAAGGAGCTGTCACTTCCAGTTCAGTACCGGTTTTTGCTGTGTCAGTTATCCTGACACATTTCACCCAGCAGCTGCTCAGCCTTGAATTACTGTTTATTTCTGTTAAAGAGCCTGTACCTGATTTTTTCCCATGTATTTGAGAAAAAATTGTCTTGCCCCAGTACAGATATATTGTATAAGCAGCTTTTGAGGTCAAAATAAGGCCGCTATAGTTTTTACCTGCATCTAATTATAAATTGTTTTATTGTCTAATAATCAGGAAGTGTGCTGCTAGCATGCTAATTGTTACTCTACTCTCTTCTCAGAGAGGTTGTAATACATGCTTACAAACTAAGAGGGAGCCACCCCATATAGAAAAGGTATAGACAAATCATACACCATTTTCATATGACAGTGAAAACACTTACAAGATCTTTGGTAAATATGTGCAGCATGAAACATATAAAACTTTGTAACCTGCAAGGCCTGAATATGACACTAATCCCACATACAATATCCTTACAAGTATTGGACAAAGGTCATTTATTTCATAGAAAAACAAGTGAAATGATGATTGTTTCCTTAAACTTGATTGCTGTGTTGTGTGTGTATGAGAGTGAGAAAGAAAATTATCACAGTGTGTGTTTGTGTGTGGGGTTGCGTGTGTGTCTGTGTGTGTGTTGGGCAGCATGGGGGTAAACACAGTAATGCAAATATTGCATTACAACCTTAAAAAACATATTCCACTGATATCACATTGAACATACATCAGGCTGTAAAAATATTTTTACTCTGCAAAATCCTAATTATTACAAAGGTCTATATTGACTTGTAATATTCCAAAAAACAGCTATACACTTATATTTTTTCACATGCCTCAACTGACAAGAAGTCACATCAGTTACAAATACCACGGTACTTGTAATTGTCCTCAATATCTGCTATTGTTCCCTCTGGAATCAGCAGCTGGTTAGCTTAATTGGTAAGTCACTGGACTTCCACATGGTAGACCTGGGTTTAAATCCCTCTTCAGACTCTGATTGTTTTTTCTGCAACATATACTTAAAGAATACAAACATTACATGGAACATACAAAGAAAATGTAGATTATCATGCACAATATCTGTAAATGTCATGCAAAATGTTCACTTTATGTTTACTAGTTTTTCATAATATAGTTGTCTGAGAAAAATGCAAAAGGGGCCACTTTCAGGAGTAAACCATACATGGCACATATAAACCTTATATAAAGATGTACTACAAAGACAGTGGTAAATTCTTATATTTTTTTTCCAGTTTTTTTCCATATGGGACAGGGAATAATTAGGATGGTCGGAAAGCATGAGGTAAGTCAGAAATACCTTAGGACCATCCCAAATTGTTTAAAATGAACTAGTTTTGTTTTTCACGTCTTGAGAACATAAATATCAGGTACAGCGTCCTTAACCTTCCCATAAGCCTTGTGCAGTCTCACATACTGTACTTACTTTATCTGTTTTTCAGTGACACCAGCATTTCAGCCTGTCACACCTGCTCTACAAACATTTGGCTGTGTTAGTGATAGTGCCGAGGTGAACAAGCCTCTTTTAGTGTAAGAGAAATCCCTGGCTAAGCAAGGCGTAAAGGAGTCAGACAGCGGCCCATCTGCCAATATTAACCTGGTGTGCATGTATCCATGTCCCTACTTTCTCCTGGCACTGAGCCAGTCCAGCAGAAGGATGGTGCTATCATGGCCTAATGTGATGATTTCAGGCAGAAGTATTACAAAGAAGCTCTGCCAGTTGTGGTGATGGAGGGAGGCAGGGTGTGAGACAGGGCTATGGGATGGGCGGTTGTTTGTTTTGTGACTAACACCTCCCTCTGGCTTATGGGTGGGGCAGCTTTACCCCAGCAGACGTTGGCTGTGCCAATGGCTTGGCAGAGATGAGAAAGGTGGCTCCCTGCCCACACACTCACTCAGCGTACTCAAGCAAGTGGAGGTACATTTATATACACAGGACCTGATTTCAACACCCACACTAAATGTAACCTGTGGTTGCATACAAAATCAATGGATTCTTTTCCAAATGCAACCTGCAAAATGAAAAGATCATCTTCTATCATCTCATTCCCAACACACTGTGGAGACAGCGAGCAATGAGGCATGATGTACACAGCCGCCCACTGCCTCTCTGTCCCTGGCTCGCATCTTTTTTGTCTCTGTAGCACCCATCACCTCCCCGGCTCAGCCTGCAGTGTCTTAGTAGCACCCACTGCCTCCCGAGCTGCAGAGGGGCTGGAGATTGCCTCAAATGTGTGACCATCAGCTCCCTGGGGCTCTAACACACTGTGGCAAATCACCATCGCAAATTGAATTTTTCAAGCAGCCACACTCACATATTACAACTCGTCCATATCTGCCAATCTACCATACTTATTATTGTTATTTGAATTCCCCTGCTTCTTTACAACACAAATGTTCTTTTTGAAAATTGCCATGTTCAGAATGACTGACAGAATGAATGACTTAACTGACACTTCACACACGGCTACTTGAATATGAAGTTCATATTTAGTTTAGAGTTGTGTTTATGGACTTTTGAGATGAATTTGCTAATTATTATGGTTTTAGTATTATTTGGGTCATAAGGCACTCCAGGTAATCATGTGCAATTTGATGAATAAACCGACTGTTTGGAAAGCTTTTAAATAACTACAGATGGTACTTTTGTTAGCCCACTATAATGCCGAGTATAATGCGTCTGAATTACGCAATCATCTTTATTTGTTGAATTTTGGCAGACACAGTAGTTTTTGCCAGCTGCTCCTGAGCTGGCAGTCAGGTAGGCCAATCATGATGGTGTAAGATGCTGGCATGGACTCATCTCTGCCCTGGCCACTGCACCACTGGCATCTGTAACTGACAATGACCCACCGAGGAGCAGAGCGACAGGTGGAGACGACAGGACCGGGGGGTGACAGGTGCAAGCTAAATGAGACAGAAAGGTTGTGCATGAGAAAAGTAGGACACGGTGCAAGTTGAAAATATCAAACTACAAACTGAGGTGGAATATCTGAGCATATCAAATAGCAGCTGCAGTTCTCGACTTCTCCTCTGCAGCTATTTTAAGCTGTCACCACACCTTGAGCTAAAGGAAACAATGTATTCATGAACACCTATTTCTTATTCAATTATTTAAAGAGTGTTGTCTCTAATCTCTTTTTATCCTCCCTGCTATGTCCTTTTACCGGCCAGTGTAATGAGTAAGATGAAGTCTAATATCAACCAGCTTCAGTCTGTGTGCATATGTAGATGGGATTTTTGAGGATATTCTCCAGATGGTTGGAACATCAGGGGTACGCTGTAAAATTGCGTCGTTTGGGTTTTATCAAAGTGGCTGGTCGATGTCAGCCTGCTCCTTGTAAAAAGCACAGATGTAGCCTCATTTCTCGCCTGTTGTTAGACAATACAAAAGACTATTCTTTTTTACATTACATCTTGTAGGTCTTTATGACATGTCTTGTGAGTGTTAAGCAGCAGATATCCTTGTGTGGCTACAGCTTTCCTAGTTTTCGCCTTGTTCCAAGAGTGTGTTTGGCTGCCTGTGTTTGACCACTAGAGAGGTTTATGCCAGAATCCGCTGTCTGTTTCTTGGCTTCTCGCACAGTCAGACACCACACTGCTGCCTGCTGCCGTCCATGCATGTTCAGCACAAGTCTTTTCCAGCGCAAACACGGGCAAGTGCCAAGGCATCGCACGCACACGTGCTCACTACAGCCCCATGGACCCTCCACAGCCTGGGCCTTATCTGGTGCATAGAGCCTCCCTGACAGCGCCGTGCCTGTTAATTGCAAAGAAGCTGTAAAGTGAGTAATTATTGCAGTGTGGAGTGGGCA